TGCCACGAACAGCAATTTCGTTGTTATTATTAGGAACGCCCGGAGGGGCGAGGGAAAGAAACCGTGTGTTTACCCTCTCCAGAAGCCACTCGAGAAGCCGAGAAGCTCGTGCCATGAAAGATTTTAGTTTATCCCTCTCGTCCACGATATTGCTGCGCTTTGCTTTGCTCCGACGCATATTCTTCCCTCTTGAAGATTTAATTTTTATTTATTAACCTTCGTAAGAAAAAAAAAAAAAAAAAACGAAAAAAGAACGGTGTCTGTTACGATAATTGAACGATCGCAATAATGATTAGAATCTATGTATCTCGTGCGATATTCGATGAACGAGCGAAGAAATTGATCTTTCAATTGACGATCCTGTTCAATCTACAATCCGTGCGAATATAGAAGTTTAAATTGTAACGGGATTAAGCTCAGGAAAATGGCAAATGGCAAAGAGAAAAGCTACTTGATCAGGTGACACAGTGGTGAGACATTGAAATTAACTTTTTAACCTTTTGCGCTGGAATGACGTGTTCCAAAATTGCAATATATTTCTTCAGTTTTAAATATATTTAAATATAACCCAGGCAAAACGAGTAATAAATTTATTACTTCTTAGTAATAATTTCTATCCAGTGATATCACACCGACGGGTTATAAAAGAAAGCGACGAATCATTGTATATGGTTTGGTCACTCGTTATGGCCCGTGAATAACCAACAGGTTAAGAGGAGTGATTATATTATTGTCAATCATCAATGATTTCACATCGCGTTGCCAAACTTCGCTTCTCGCGTCACGATCGTGGCAAAGAATTTTGCGTGAATTTACAACTGACGAGTCCCGATAACGATGACGGTCCATTCGTCGAAGAATCAGCCATGCCACCGAATTTCGAGTGTAATACGGCGTGGGTGGCCTGCCACCTCCACCGTCTCTCTACCTTCTTTCCACCAACGGTAACCACCAACGGCCAAGCTCACGCAGCCTCTCCTCTCTTCCGATGATGAATGACCTTTCGTGTACTTCTCCGTTGCATCGTACCGTGTCGCGATCCCACTGTGTCTTCGCACCCATCTGCTTCGTCCAGCCTCGTTGTTCCCTCTCTTTTCTCTCGCGATTTTTCTTTCTATTCTAACGCTGGAAAATAATCGTTGCATAGTTTCATATTTATTATAGGAAAATATTGAGCGTACACACGCTTAAACACTCTTAAAACATTTGACGGTAAAATCACGAGAAAATAATGTCAAAAAACAGCTGTGGATCTCCTGAAAGGTTCTTGCCCTGCTACTTTTTACTCTTCCATTCTTCTCTCGATCAGCTTCTTTCCTCGCTTTGCCATCACCGTTTCACCAAGTCGTTTCGATTCTTCTTCCCTTCGAAAGTAAAAAGGACGAGCTCGAAGGGTTTTCTCACCCGTAGTTGAGACGTAGTTTCTCGATCGTAATCGCGCAGGTAGTTTACGTTTACGAGAGGTTTTCGTAAAATTTCGCCCGGTCGACGAAAGTTGCGCGCAGATAGAGCGTGTACACGAGAAACTCTCGGTTAAGTGGATACAGTCGTAGTCCTGTTAAACGGCGTGGTTTCACCACGGGTGACGAATTTGAAAGGGGACGGTGACACCTCGGAGCATCCGCAACCGCCTTAAAAACATTCGAATGCCAAAGGAAACGGGGGGTCCAGGACGCAGCTCGTTCCTGCGGTTCGTTCCGAGACTCCTCCGTGCACGATTCCGCGTCTTTTCAGCTACCTGAAGGAGAGAAGGAAGGAAAAAAGAAGAAGAGAGAGGAGACGGGTCTTCATATTTTATACGGGATGGGATCTTTTATGCGGTCGACTACGGGGGCACCCAGCGTGTCGAATAGAATTCAGGAGGCCGGTACAACGATAGGTATTTTGACATGCCCGAGAAATTAGTATAATAAAGGGGGGCTAGGTAGACCGGCTAAGTGCCTAAACACACGCCGTAAATCTCCCCTCGGTGCTCTCCAACATCCGACCAATGCGGTAAAAACATGCTTTCTCTCTCTCTCTCTCTCTCTCTCTCTCCATGATTGCAGTGGCGCGCTGCCTCTCGAACACCGACAGTCTGTGGACCTTTTGACGTTTGATCGATCGAGATACATCTAAGAGAATCTCTCTAACGGTCTTTATCGCCACTCTTTGCTCCTTTCTCTCTGTTTCACGCGTGTTCTCCTCTCTTTGTTTTCGGCTAGGTTCTTTCTCTCTTCTTTCACTCTAATTTCACTCATTGACTACTAGTTACTTTATTCATGAGAATTGGTTTGCTGTATCCACTTGTGCCTTTGTTATACTTTCGTGACAGATTCGAGTCGCTAGTTAATAATTGGAGGATAACTTTGTAGGTAAACTTTCTCAGGATAAATGTCGCAAAACTGGAGAAGTTGAGTGACATGCAGCTTGACAACAATCTGTAAAGCATCAACAGTTGCATTATAAAATGCAAAGGGTCAGTCACTTTTGCGTATTTGCCTTGGGCGCCCACTGATATGCGAATGAAAATGAAACTAATTCCTTGAATTGTTGAATACTGAGCCTGGTGGCTCCTATGCGATTCTTGCTTGGACAAGAATATTGAACAAGGTGAGACTAAATGTTGACTACTCGAATAATCTTTCGTGACTAACTCTGAATTGAATGACTTGATTGAACTTTAAATTTTGACTCGACGCTCTCCTTTATTCGGCTTTGAATTAACCCTTCCAAAGGAGCAGGATATGCCAGGACCAATCAGGAAGTATGAGGGAAGATTTCCAAATTCATCGTCACCCATAATTTTTGGGAAACGATCGTCTTAGGAAAACTATCCCGCTGCAATTTCGTGCAGACTTAAAATTGACGCAGATGTATGAGGTGCCTTGTCTGGAAGTTTGAAAGTGGTCAAAGACCTGATTTGCTGAGTTAGGGAACACCCATGCCATAAGTGTTACGTACCCTTGGCCTTAGTTAGAGATGAAGTGTTTT